GCTTTGTGTGATCCCATTGCCTACCAGTCACAGTATGAGAAGAGACAGCAACAGCTTGCCTCACTCATGGATGAAGAAGAAGAGGAAGTTGATGGAGAGGTACATATACTTCACTTTATCACACTGAGTCATATTAATTTAACATATTGTTTGGAAATAATGTTTCAAAGATCAGTTTTCTCTTGTTAAGAGTTTTGGTTTTACAATGTAATACTTCTACTACATGTAGATGACTAAACCAAATTTAACTGGTTTCATATGTTATGGTTTGCAGATACGTGCATCACCAAATTTAAAACATCATTTTGCTATATTTGTTTCTGTGCTCTCTTCCAAAAATTTCATGCACAAAAAGACAAACAACTATAATTTAGTCCAGCTTAAATTTCTGTACTTCAAATGTTTTTGTTTTTGTTTTTTTATCAGGAAGTGTTTGACAACCAAAATTCAAACGATAACCGTAAAAATAGTACAACACCCAAAACACCCAACCCACCTCCTGAAAAGGACTTCAAGTCCAGGAACTTTTCGTTTAAAAGAACAGCAGAGCCAAGAGGTAATAATTATGTGGATTATGAAGTAGCGATGTGCAATGTTCGGGTAAATTGTTACACATCATGTTAATAATATTGCTATTCAACCTAATTTTTCTTTTTTCTGTAGCTGATTCTCTAACACCGTCTGATGTAATCCTAAGTCAACGCAGAGGCTCCTCTCTATCAGCCTTTGCGCACAGAGAYAGTTTAAGAGAAACATACTCAACAGGGATAAAACCCCAGCTACAACACCAAGTATCCAGCCCTTACCCACAATCTGGTAGGACATTCTCATTGCAGACTCCACCCCCGCCTGAAACGACGGCATCCTGCAAGAGAACATACAGTGCAAAGAGAAGAGAAGGCAAGACAACGTCACTGATCATCATTTCTGAGGCCGATGAGAAGGGTATGTCCAACTTGACACCATATGGACTGTAGCAACTGTTGTCACAAACTTGAATGTTTACTTTCTTTGATCGATTGATTGGTCATGAGATTGGTTTTTACCCTAAGGTTACTTAAGTTGAATCCCTTTGGTCGTTTTAGCAAATTATTTAATAACTGTTTATATTGTTATTATGATTATTATTACTGTTACAGCCTTTTGCAAAAAATTATGAGAATTGTTGAAATATCTAAATATCATAATATCAAGTGTATGATGGGTAATCTCGCGCGATGCCATTAATTAGTCCCTTGTCTTTGTAGTTTAGTTTTTTTTGGCGACAGACTTATCTGTAGTTCTGAACATTTTCTCGATGTCAACAATGAATTATTCTAGCAAACCCGCGTGTTCTGGACAATATATGGATATGGATATTATGATATTTAGAAATTTAGACAATTCTCATAATTTTTGCAAAAGGCTGTATCATAATTTATAATGATATTATAATTGTAAGTGATCATTATTATAATAATGTGTTTAGCCGTGAGTGTAGGGACTTGTGTAAGGTTGGGATCCCAGGGGGGAGGGGGTGCACAACGTGACTTGTAAACTTGGGATGGATTTTCGATATAAGAATAGTTCAAAGGTGCTGATCTGAGCACAAAGAGACTTCAATTCCTAGCTTTTTTATTTACATAACAGAGTGTCTGAACTGTTACAAGAACCCAATATTTGCTGGAGTATGAAAGGGAAATAAATGCCATTTTTGCAGGGGAGGATTTAATAWTCTTGTGTCATAATATTTTGTGTAAATATGTTGAAATAGTTATCGTCTATGAAGGTCAGTAGTTTAATGTGTATAGTAGGTAGTGTACATTAAAGATGTAAATATTTTTATTAAGTCAACAATTACCTTTGTTATTGGCATAAATCAATCTTTTTTATGGACTAAATAGTGTAGATCAACTGTCAGTAATTGATTGATCCGAAAGGTTGAAGAAAGAAACACTTTGATGAAGATTCATGAAATTACTTAATATATTTTTTTGACAATGACATGCACCATCACAAGCACAAACTTACAAAACAAAATAATTTATAAATTTAATAGAAAAATGGCAAAAGAGTAATTCAAAGTAACTTGATGTAACATTATTAAGCTAAGTAAACTTAAATCAAGGGTATAAACCAGAKGCATCATGAAGGTGAGCTGGAAAAGTGTTGGTTTAAGGTGAAGCTGATAATGTTAATTATTATTATTATTATTGCATGATTGTTCTCATTTTGTTTATTAAATAAATGCTTTCAATGTATTATTTAATGCATAAAGATTTTTTGTAATAAATTATACTGCAGTCTCCTTCACATATCCCTGCTTTTGCCTGTTGCACTGAAGTTAGATGATCAGGGAGTGTGACTGCAATGATBGATATCTTCAACATTATCATTTCAATCACCCTTGTCATCTTGTTTCAAGGCAGGAGCAGCTGCTGCTCAAGCTGTGTTGCAGGGAACTGCAAAAGGACAATGACAAAATGCCAAATGTTTATTTTCTAACAATTATTATATATAATGTAGGGTTGTGTTGGTTTTGGATATTGCATGGCTATCAGCATGATTTGTTTGCTTAATATTTGATTACATTGTTTCAGTTTACAAGTATCCGCCATCCAGATTAGCTTCATTACGTATGTACATATTATGGTCTTTGCACATTTGAGTGTCATCTAAAAAAAACAACAACAAAAAACAAAACAAAAAACAAAAAACAAAGGAAATTATTCTTTAAAATGAGTTGAATTTAAGAGAGTACAAACCTCCCAGAAACAATTTTTTTCTACTAAATTTCTTACATGATTGCATGAAGTTGAAAAATTTAAAAAAATTCTAAAGGAAAATTACAATGAAGTATGAATTATTTTTAAAATTATTTTCAGAAGTACATGAAACTGCATAATATATCAAGTCCATTGTTTTAAAATTTTTAAATTTTTAAAATCTCTGAACATTTTTTGCTTGGAACAAAGCATTCAAAAATTGTGCTAATCTGAAAAAAGCTTTTTTGCATGAGAATGAGAATTTATTTTGTGATTTTATAAGCAAGTGGTATCACTTAGAGAAGAATGATGAAATACAGTTGCAGGTTTTGAGCAATTTCCTAGCTATTGATAGYATTTTCAGCTAATAAAAATGTAATCATTTCAAGTCAAAAACCCAAGAAAAAATGAAGAAACTGATGAATAAATAAAAAAATATAAAATAATTAAATAGAGCATGAAAATAATCATATATCATTTGCATGAGTAAAAAACATTTACATGACTTTTAAAAATGTCTTTAAAAACTAAAACGCTACTACTAAGACCATAAAACTCTGACAATCCACTTGGTGTCTGTGGACGTAACCTTCTTGCAGGTCTGTATATATTTAACATTAATATTGTAAATATTATATGAACTAAATGCATATACTTAAATGTAAATATAACAATTAATAGTGCAGTTATTCTTGAATAGGTTGTGAAGTTAGAGACAATTTTTGGGGTTTTAATCTCAAAGTCACAATCTCTTCAACAATATCTGTATATTTTGAGTAAATTCCAGATTGTCTTTGTTGTCACCCTATACATTCTTACAGCTTGAACCCATTTGTTTAARTAAAGTTCARGTACTTTGTGTTACATACACATCCATGATTCTCATTGTTTTGTTGTCTTTTAGTGTCTTGTCGAAACCTTATATCAATTTGATCTGATTGTTTTCAGGAAAACCCAAAAATGAAGAGGAATTATCYTGGAATCACATCTGTGAGTTTCAAATAATCACCACATGCTTCTAATAAATTATTATTATAATTTATAACAAAAAACTAGTTTAATTTTGTCCATGTATTTTGATGCAAGGAGGTCTTCCAAAGGGCAAATACAACTGACGTATGCACTTATGGTCACTATGGACTCTGATTCAATCTGTATTTTTTATCTTTTCCATGATTGATTGGTTTATTTTATTTTTCAGATGTCAAAGTAGAAGCCATGAATTTAGATCAACTAAAAGAACAAAAGGTGAGATTATTTTTCGTCTCTATGGTCTACAAGTCATMTAGTTATAATTCAAGAAACCTTTAAAGCGCTGATGTTTGAATTTAAAATTTGTAGTCTTACTTGAAAATGCTT